CTGGTACCCACCCACCCCACTTCTCTACTGAAGTCCGGACCTTTTCCCACTTGCTAGACCATCCTGAAGGCTTATGGCTGATGTCCATTTGAGTGGCAGCATGGATACTGGAAAGTCCAGATAATGGGATTGAACCTGGATCTGAGAATGGGCTGGCATGATTAGCTTTTGCCCCTAAAACCAGACCCTGCAGTCCCCCCAAAACTTATCCATCTGTTGGAGTATTTGGGAGGTCCCAGGGCACAGAGGTCCCAAGCTTGATTCACTCTGGCTGGGTGGCCATTCTAGAGTCTCAGGACATTTACTGCAGAGGGGAACACACAGTTCCAGGCAGGGCCCGACTGCCCCCCTAGGGGAAATAAGCTTGATGAACTCATGTTTTGATCATGGCCCATGGGAGCTGCTCTTGGGCTGGTTAAATAGGCAGGAGGTAAACATGCACCCGAGGTGGCTCCCTGCACAGCAGGCTTAATTATAAGCACAACATAGTGACGACAAGACAGAAAGTGGGGGAAATAGAGGGAAAAAAAGTCTCTCACTGCCCACAGCCTCCACATTTCCCTGCCTGGGTGTGACTTCTCCCTCCAACGTGACTTTCCCTAGGGATGCAGATGCTTTTTTTCTTCCTTAATTTCATTCTGATTACAAAATTAATACAACAACCCATTGTGGCATTCTTGGAAAATGCAAAACCAGTGTAAAGAAGAAAACAAAAATTTCTACAAATTCCGCAGTCCAGCCCCTTTCTTCATGTTAAGCAGCCTTATTTTCATTACAGCACTTGCCACCATTTGAACTCATCTTGTTGATTTGTTTACTTGTTTACTGTCTGTTTCTCCCCCACAACAAGCGTAAGTCCTATGAGGTCAGGGACCTTGTTGGTCTGTACGCATTAATGCCCCCAGCCAGGCCAGGGCTTGGTACATAGAAATGCTTTACTGCATGTTTGATGAATGAATGAATGCAATAATGTGTATGTTTTTACTCCACCGTGATCACCCAGTTCATGCTATTTCATATACTGATTTCTATACCTGAAATTAACTATGTTCTTCACACCAGTCAGGGAAGGGCTGGGGGAGGGAGTGGGAAAGGTGGCTCTGGGTGAGGCCTAAGGCCAGGGGGGATGGGGAAGGCACAGATAAGGTGGATCCCATGGAGATGACGTTAGAGTCACACATCTACCCAAGTGCACCATTGAGAGGGGCTGAGTGAGGGGAAGGATAGGCTTGTCCCCCAATGTGCAGGGACTACATCCTCATAACCTTTTCGGGTCACCTGTACAGAAATCAGAGATGTACACTGAACTTGCTCAAGATCTCACAGCAGGTCAGCAGTGGAGTTAGAATAGGAACTGCAGATATGATAATAAAAGCTTCATCTTTTAGAAAAACATCAAATCAGAAATATGGATCACACTTTAAGAAGGCTTTTAATTAAAAAGAAGCTATGAAGCACATCTTGGGGGACCTAAATGTCCTTTTCATTTGGAAACTGTTCTATCAAAAGCCTTGGTCTGTGCTGATGAGAAAATGGATTTCACAAGAGTGAATTCAACAAAAAGGTTTGGCTAGCTGATTAATTAACTGAGGCAAAGGTCTCATGAAAGTTTAAGATGGTTTTAATGTAGATTATTCTTTGCACCCATGCATGCCATTGATTGCTAAATGTAAGAGTCTGATTTTGATGTTGAATAAATGTGTCTTTAAAAAAAAGTTTAAAATTGGGTGACCTTTCGTTCTCTTTCAACATGGGAAGATACGGAATCTCGTGCTGTCAGATTGGTTTAATAGGAGTATAAGAGCTCACCTTTATACACGAAATGTAAAGCTCTATGTCTGTAAAACATAGTTCAAATAATTGTGAAAACTGTGGTTAAGGCAGGAGATGGTAATAGTTCATCAATTATATATATTCATCACTTCAGATAAAACTAAATATTAATTGTAGTTGCCAATTAAAAATAAGGCATCCTACCTCTCTTGGTCTTTGTTCTTTCAAAACTACAAATATCTCAGAGCAGCTTTTGAGATAATTGCTGTGCTCTGCTGTCTCCACCAGCAAAAGTTTACAAGGGTCACCCAGCATAGAAGGCTCTGACAGTCTCTAGTTTAAAATCCAGTGCACGACCTTCTGTCCCCCAAAGCAGGGCTCTTTCCCAGCTGCCTTCTTTTTTTTTTTTTTTGTCCTTTTTGAGACCGGCCGCACCGTGCTCAGCCAGTGAGCGCTGTGAGCGCACCAGTCATCCCTATATAGGATCCGAACCCGCGGTGGGAGCGCTGCTGCGCTCAGCGCCTCACTCTCCCGAGTGCGCCACGGGCTCGGCCCCTCCAGCTGCCTTCTGATGCTGTCAGTCTTCTTTATGGTCACCTATAGCCGTCAGCACGTACCCAGCCAGAACTCTATCTGGTATGAATTTAGCTGCACAGGCCAAACCGTAATCTTAATGAGAAGCCTTCAGATTCTCATCTCTGGATTCCTGCTTGTGCTTCTGGGGAGTCTGTTCCTAAAAGTTTCCTCAAGCTCAGTCCTGGCCCCATGGGTAGCACTGAATGGTCCATCCACATCAAGGGCACAGTCCTGCCTGCTCAAGGAGCCTTCCTGAGGAACCCTTGCCCCCCCAGGCTGTGCTCCCCAGAGAGCCGTCTGCCTCTGGGTGCCTCCCTTGCTCAGAGGCATCTCTCCAGGGCAGATCACGGGGGAAGCCGATCACAGGGGAAGCCGATCACAGGGGAAACTGATCACGGGGGAAGCCAAGCACTGGAGGCTCATTCTCAGGAGGATACTTGGTCCTGCAGGGAAGCAAACCCACATCCCTTGAGCTTTCTGCCTGCTGAAAAGAGGGATTCAATGATGCAGAAATTAAGAAAACCCCCATCTGGGGACATGGCTGGGCATGTGATTAACAGACAGACATGAAAATGACATCCCATTTACAGATGGCTAATAGGGTAGATGGGCAGGGCACCAGTGAATTAAATCCATAGTAAGTAGTATACTTTCATTTTCACCAAAAATTTCAGTCTCATTCTCAATGCTAATTATCTGTGTGAAAATCACCAGCTACTATGTTACTCTCTTAGAAGCTCCATTTTGCCTTAATAGAGTCACATTCAACTAACATTTATTGAACACCTACTACGTTCTATATACTTTCCCATACACCTCATTTGACCCTCTAACCAACTGAGCTAACTGGCCAGCCATCATGACAACCTATTTTAAATAGGGATTAGTCTCGCCACTTTTTACAGATGAGAAAACAAAGATTTACAAATGTCGAAGTTATTATCTAAGAGTACACAGCTATGACCACTGGAGAATAAAAAGTGGCAACTTTGCCTTCTACCCTGACAGCAAAGAATCTTCCCCAAATCAGCTTTAAGTCTACAGATTTTTTTCTATTCCTTTAGTAAAAAAAAAATTAGTTGTGGTAAAATACATATAACACAAAATTTACCATCTTAACAGTTTTTAAGTGTACAGTTCAGTAGAATTAAGTACATTCACACTGTCATGCGACTGTCACCATCTCTCCCAGAACTCTTTTCCTCTTGAAAAACTGAAGCCCACACCCACTGGACGGTAACTCCCCGTTCTGTCTTCCCCATGCCCCTGGCAGCCATCACTCTGCTTTCCATCTCTACCGCTTTGACTACTCTGGGTACCTCATGTGAGTGGCATCAGACACTATCTGTCGTTTTGTGTCTGGTTTCTTTCACTTAGCATGATGTCCTCAGGGTTCATCCATATTTTAGCAAGTGTCAGGATTTCCTTCCTTTTTAAAACGGAATATTCCATTACATATACACACACACACCACGTTTTGTCTATTCATTCATCTATTGGTGGACATTTTGGTTACTTCCACCTTTTGGTTCCTGTGAATAAGGCTGCTACAATCATGGGTATACAAATATCCCTTCGAGACCCTGCTTTTGACTCTTTTGGGTATATACCCAGAAGTGGAATTGTTGAATCATATGGTAATGCTACTTTTAATTTTTTGAGGAACCACCACACCATTTCCCATAGCGGCTGCACCATTTTATATTCCAACCAACAGTGCATCAGGGTTCCGATTTCTCCATGTTCTCACCAGCACTTTTTACTTTGTTTTGTTGACAGTAGACATCCTAATAAGTGTAAGGTGTAAACCCAGTTTTATATCCTGATCAATGTCCCCAATGGCAGGGAGGATAGAAAGAGAATGGGCATATGGACACTGATCAGACAGACATCAGGATCTGCCAGTAAATGGCCTCAATAAATGGAGGGAGGGAAATACCATGGACACAGATTAGAAGATTCAATATTGTAAACATGTTAATTCTCTTCCAATTCATCCATGTATTCAGTGTAATCCCAATCAAAATCCAGCACGTTTTTCTTGGAAGCTGACTAACTGATTCTGCAATTTATATAAAAATGTGAAGGACCAAGAACAGCCAAGACAACTTTGAGTAAGAACAAATCTGCGAGGGGCCAGCCTGGTGGCGCACTGCTACAGTGCGCCGCTTGAGAGCGCGGTGGCACTCCCGCCGAGGGTTCGGATCCCACATACAGACTGGTTCCTGCTCACTGGCTGAGCAAGGTGCGGACACAACACCGAGGGTTGCGATCCCGTTGCCAGTCCCGGTCCGGTACGGGCGCGACACTGAGGGTTGCGATCCGTTGCCGGACACGAAAAAAGACAAAAAAAAAAAAGGAAAAAAAAAAAAAAGAACAAATCTGCGAGACCCATACTACCAGATATCAGGACTTATTATAAAATTATGATAATTAAGATAGAGTGGTATTGACTCAGGGTAGAAAACAGACTAATGGAAAAGAATGAAGCATCCAGAAAAAGACCCACATGTACAGAGTTGCTTGATTCATAACCAAATTGACATTCCAGTGCAGTGAGGAAAGGATGGATTTTTCAAATGGTGCCCAATCACCTGCATATCCACACAGAAAAATGAATCTTGACCCCTGGCTCAAATCACACATGGAAATCAATTGTAAAATGATTATAGTTCTAAACAGAAAAGAAAAACAATACAGCTTCTAGAAGAAAACATTGGAGAATATCTTCATGGCCTTCGGGGTAGGCAAAGATTCCTCAACAGGATACAAAAACACTAACCATTAAGGAAAAAAAATGGATAAATTGGATTATATCAAAATGAAGAACTTCTACTAATCAGAACCACCATTAAGAAAGTAAAAAAGACAAGCCACAGAATGGGAGGGTATATTTGTAATGTATTTATCTAACAAAGGAAAAATTAATTGGAAAAGACAGATGATCCAATTAATAAATATGCAAAAAGTTGAAGGGGCAGTTCATAAAAAAGGATATCCTAATAGCTAATAAGCATATAAAAATGCTCAACCTCATTAGTCATCAGGGAAATGCAAATTCAGTCTGGCAACATCATGTGTTGGGGAGGATGTGAGGGAACTGGAATATTCCTACATTGCTGGTGGGAATGGAAATTGGTACAATCACTCTGGCAAACTGTTTGACAGTATATCCTAAAACCGAATATGCACATAACCTATAACCTAACAATTCTACTCCTTGGTATATATAACCAACAGAGAAGTATACATATGTGTCCCAAAATCCATGTACAAGAATGTTCAGAGCATTGAATCCCCATACTGGTCAGCCACCCAAAACTAAAAAAGAACGTGACTTGTAACAGTTCCAAACTAAAAATAAAAGCTATCCATCTACAATAGGATGTCTAAATAGAATGTGCATATTCATACAATGTAATATACTATAGAGCAGTGGTTCTCAAACTTCAGTGTGCCTCAGAATCACCTGGAGGCTTGTTAAACTACTGGTGTGTGGGCTCCACCTTGCCTGTCCACACAGAACGTCTCACATTTTTCCTCTAAGCTGTCCCATTATAGTTGAAGATGTCTACTGATCACCTCTCCAGTGTTCTTTCCTCCCCCACGTCAGCAAGAGAGGGGACTAAGGAGGCATGAGAGGCCTGGTTTCTGACCATTAGTACAAACAAAAATCTCTCTTATACCAGGTCAGCCCCACTGACTTTGTTAATATACTAAGCATTAACCTCACATAATCCTGACAACATAAATAGAGCATAATTATGGCAGCCACCTTTATCACCATTTTATAGAGAAGGAATGGACCATTAGCTGGATTAACTGTATAGTCACGCTGCTTGGCAAAACTAGAGATGAGATTCAGACAATTCAAACCCACGTCTCTGGGTCTGATGCTCCCTCCTCCATAGCTGGCTGCCTCCCCACAATGCCAGGCACGCTCATCCCCTTTCTCAACCAATCCAGGTGCTACCAAGCTCCAGGTTCAAGGTGAGGCCGCCTTTCTCCGGGAAGCAAATACTGCCACCCAAAGCAAGATGCTTTTTGCCTGATGTAAACACAGTATTGTTTACTATATAATGTGCTTCTGGGCATTAAAAGCTCAGTCCTGAAAGAGCTCCTTTACGCTGTGTCTGCTGTTTCTGTGGCTAATTGGCTGTCTGGGGAGGTGGACGAGCTGCAGTAAAATGCTGATCTTTCAGTCTAATCACTTGGTGAGAGCTGGGATACCCTGTTCCTCCATGCATCAGCATTTTTTTTCCTCCAAGCCCTTTAATATTCACTTAAACAACTGAGGCACAAGCAATAATAAAACTGTATTTTTTATCTTACAAGAAAGTTTTGTATGATATATGCATGATATACCAATTTTCTCAATCTCTTCTGCAATAACATTTCATTAACACTCTTGTCCAAAGGGTGATTCAACAGGGTCAGAAAGGCAGGCACGAAGATGGTAAAAATATCAAACTTACTAAGGAGTAAGGGGAACCAAACATTTACTGCCTGCCTACTACATGTATCAGCAGTTTTGAAACAGCTTCTTATGACTTTGGATGAGCCAGGTGGGAAGAGGGGACTCTCTGAGAGCAGCTTGTGGCCTGAAAATATTCAGCGCCAAAAGCAGCAACCCAAGCACCCCCAGAGGCTAAAAAGCCATAAAGCACAGGTTCTCAACACTGGCTGCAGGTTGAAATAACCTAGAGTTTTAAAAAAAAATATCCCTATGTCTGGGCTCCACCCTAGTCTAATTGGATCAAAACCTCTGGGAGTAGATGCCTGCATTGTTGTTGTTTTTTAACCCCCACTTCTGCAGGTGATTCTAATATTGAGAAGGATCGTAGTAATGAATCAACAAACAGGAGGTGGAGTGTTCCAAAGAATAGGTGATACTGGGGGACCATGAAACTGAGTTTAAAAGCAACCTGGTGGCGGAGGACATTTAGTTCTGGCCCCCTCCGCCCTGCTTCCAGGAAAACTATTCCTGGCCCACTCTAAATGGGTGAATGTGACTCTCTGCACTCTGGGGTCATCCTCCTTGGCCTCCCTTTTAAATACAAACATATGTCCACAAATTCAAGAAATAGCCTACACATTCCTCTTGGCAAACTGGAGAGCTTAACTGGGTTCAATTCACAAAATAAACACACACCCAGAAAGAAACGAGGAGGCTGCAGACAACAGCAAGTCTGGGAGTTGGCAGAACATGTCCTGCTTCAAGATTTTTAAAAAGAAAAATCAAGTGTTGCTTAGTTTTTGTAATGAGATAAAAATTGGAAACCACTTTTTCAGAGTGGTTTTTATATTTGAACAATTAATCGGGTGGGGTGTGCATCTGCATAATAAAATTCAATGCAGGCATTGCAAAGCATGCTGCGTATGAAAATTCATTGACATGAGAAGCTGTGCATGCTATATTACATGACAAAATCTGGTCAGAGACAGTATGTACTATATGACTCCAATTTTGTAAAAAAAAAGTGTCCAAGTGTTTAGACATTTAAAACAAAAAAAATGTTGGGGAAACAATTTTCCTTGTATTTTTCTATTTGATCCATATTTTCTACAATAAACACATATTAATATTGTCTGGAAAAAATGTAGTTAAAAAAAGTTTAGATGCTGAACCAGTGGATTGATCCATAAAAATATGTCATTTTCAACAGAGGACATGCAGGGAGTTTTAGGATGAAATAAAATTTAATACTATAATCAGACATTCAAATAATGATAATATAGATTCTTCCCTGGGATAAAGAACTTCTTTAAGGCAAATGTCCATATTCCCTTGGAGTTAAATATTAATCTGATAGAATTCAGCCTAGGAGATGAATTTTAGTTTCTCTGAAACTTTTATGAACTAATTAATGCATTAGATCAAAGAGCAGGACCAGAACAGAGTCAAAGAGAAGTCTTAGGAGACAAAGCATTTCTTGTTAATTCTTCCTTGCTTTCTTAAAAGGACACGAATCTGGATGAGGCACTTACCTACCTCGGGTCTACAACACACACCTACAAACCTGGATCATGTGCCAGGTGGGAAGCAGTTCTGGAAACAGAAAGTGGGCTCTGAAAGGGACATTGACAAAACCTTTGATCAGAGACAAGCTGGGATAACCGCTCTTGGGCTTTCTTTGCGTAGGTCACCTTCGTGAAATTAAAAAGCTGAAACAGTATTCACTTAAATATAAATACCAAGTACTATTTGATGGGGTCTCAGAGGAGTCATGGTCCAGATGTCATCATCGCCAGCCGTCCACCACCATAAATGATTGAATATGATATATAAAATGCTCACATTCCCATTAATGGCTCAGTGCTCCAATTGCCTGCCAGTGTGGAGTTTCTGAAGTGCTCTTGGCTAAACAGAAAATCTCCATCCATCCATTAAGAAACATGCTTTCAATACTAACATTTTCAAAGTAGCCTATTTCTCTTTCTAAAAAATATAACTTAAATGATTAACAAACACAGTCTATGAAGAGTGAAAAATTGAGTTCTCCCCATCTGTGAGCTCCAGTCAGCTCATTTTTCCCCCCAGGCAACTGCTTGTACCATTTTCTTCAATATCTTTCCTAATATTCTACATGTAAAACAACCTATGAAAAATGGACACAATACTCAAACAGATATTTCACTAGTAGACATATGAAAAATAAACATGTGAAAAGATGCTCTATACCATTAGTTATTAGGGAAATGTAAATAAAAACCACAATGAGATATCACTACATATCTAACAGACTGGCTAAAAATAAAGACATCCCAAATGTTGATGAGGATGCTGATGAACTGGAACTCTCTTACACTCAATTATAAAATGGCGCCCTTTGGAAAACAGCTTGGCAGTTCCTTAAAAAGTTGAACATACACTTGCCATATTATCCAGTTATTCTACTTGTAGGTATTTATCAAAGAAAAAGGAAATATATGCCCATATACAGACACATATATGAATGCCCATAGCAGTTTTATTTGTAATGGCCCCAAACTGGAAACAACTCAAAAGACCAACAACAGATAAGTGGACGAGCAAATTGTGGTACATTCATACAATGGAATACTATTCAGCAATAAAAAAGAATGACTATTGGTACACACAACGGCATGGATGAACCTCAAAATGCTTACATTGAGTGAAAAAAGCCAAATCATGCCCCTCAAGAGTACATATTGTATAATTCCATTCATATAAAACTCTAGAAAACACAAACCAATCTATAGTGACAGAAAACAGAGTGGTGGTTGCTTGGGGATGAGGGGGTAGGAAGGGGCTGGAGGGAGGGATTTCAAAGGGGCACAAGATAAATTCTGGTGGTGTTGGGATAGTAAAGGAAAATGGTCAGGGACCCTCAGATGTTCAGAGTTTTGCCAAGCATTTTATGTAAATATGCACATGTGCCTGGTGGTCCTTGGTTATTGTCTAATGTAATTGCACATGTGCACCCAGGTGTCCTGGGTTATGGACTTAAGTATAAAGTACCAGTGGCTCTGATCCACAGGGTTCCCTCTGCCCCCGGGATGCCCCAAGAAGGCTGCCACAGCTGCTGCCCCGGACCTGCTGTAAGCTGCTGCTGCTGAGGACTGAGCTCGTGTCATCTCCCAATGGCTCCCGGGATCTTTCCCAATTACCTAGAGTGGACCTGCGCGTGAGGGGTCTGGTGACCCAGCCTGGCATGTGAGGGGTCTTTGACCCAGTCTGTACAATGGGTTTGAAAGGTCTGTGGGTCCTAATCCCTAGCCCAGACAATACAAATGGAAACTTACATAACTAAAA